CCCCCCCCACAACAAATGAGTGCAGTCCATACAGAGGATAAACCATAAAGAGGACATGCACTGTAGGAACCGACAATAGTCCCACTTTCCTGAATATGAAAGCGCGCTTCCACGAGATTACATTCATTAGGAGATAGAAGTCAGACATCACAAACACGTACTTCCAGACGCGAAAAAAAAACTAATCATAATGACCTGAATGTCTGCGCTGGCACCAGAGGCCATTTATTCTGTGTAATTTGGTTTCCAGCAAGACAGACTCCAGTAGAGCTATCACAAAAAGACTGATTGATTCTGCAGGTGGATAGAGCCCTGCTTGCACCAGCCACAATAAAATGAACTAAAAACACTCTGTATTCAGTATATTGCACTGTAAACATCAGAGGGGAAAATATGTCTTTTCCTTGAGAAAAGCGAATGGGGAATATGTTTACACCATGGAATAGGTAACAGGTCTCAGGTATTATGCAAGAGCTGTATTTGAGGTAAACAGAACTCGAAACCGCTTCCTTTGGGAACTTGTTTTGGTGAGTGGAAACTTTGCAAGACTTGAAATTGTTGATTCTTGCATCATGCCATTGAATTATTCCGGATTGTCATATTTGGAAACTGTGATGCTATTTCATCAGCGGGTCTTTTTTTTGCTCTTCAAATAAGGTTTACAAAGTTTTTAAACAACATCCATATTTTTTAGATTACCAATGAATGACAAGTAAAATGGTCAGTGACCGACCCACTGAGAGTTATTGCCTTTTTTTTCTTTTTAAACCTTTATTAGCACATTGTTTTGGTTTTATCGCACGTTTGGTGTATGTTTCAGTCTCACCACTCGCATCGAGCCTCAGGGGAAACATCTGACCCGTGTTTCTGCCAATAACTGGGACACCCACGGCCTGCCGTAGGCACACAGCCCGTAGACCCTCTTACTGCCGACGTCATCAAAAATATGCGTGTGCACACTTTTTTTCCCCCAGACATCCAGACGAATTAGTAAAATCTACACATTGAATTAAAACGGTTACCAACATCAAAATATCGGTGCATGGTCAACAGCGAACTCAAGTTCTACAGAATTCCGACATGACTGGTGACTTCAAGCCAAATCTACACGTGGTTACTTGTAGCAATTTACGTAAATGGTCGGTGTAGATAATCCACTCAGATGAGCTGGTATTTCAAATTGATTGAAGGCTTTTACCAGCACACTTACATGTTCTGTTCGGGTTTTTAAATAGCTGCTGTCATCTCAAGCAACGACGACACATTCGGCTGTTAACACAGTCACCATCGTTACCACTCGACTGATGATAAATGCTTGAGTTGCTGTTTCTTCCTCCATGAGTGTTGGGTCCTTTGCCATAACTCTGGAGGTATAACCTAATGTTGCTTCTTGTATGAACTAGAGTGCCTGAATCTAACCTTTTTCTTTCAAGAAGTGGATGAAAGGTAGTCTGCCTGCTGCATGCTACAGTACCTTCTGATTCTGTATTAATACAATGAAACTAGGCCAACAATAACCAGCTTCAACATCTTTGATGGGAGCTCACACGCCGGTGTTGATGGGACACCGAGGTCGAGTAATTTATTCCTGTGATGGGCAGGAAAGGCTAGATAGTTGTTACAATGTGGGGGAAAAAACATATAGGCCTTTCATCACTTTTCATCTCTGCAGGTACAATTTTCTCATCCTCCTCTCTGTATCTCTAGGAGAAAATCATTAAAAGTCAGATGTCGCTATCTCCAACATCTTTGTAAAGTTCAGCCCCACATCCTACGGTCAGTCCAAACTTTCCTGACTGAACCTCATGGCTCTAAAGAACAGGCATACTGAATGCTAGACAATATATAGAACAAATACTCGCCCTATAAGAAACTGAGAATGTTTGTATGTTTTCTCTGCCATATCGCACATATGACCACAAAAAGGTTATGTGCATCTGCAGCTGTTTGCTACAAAAAAAACACCTGGAGAGGAAAAACCTTTTTATGTTTTTCTGTCTCAAAAGATGAGTCCTCAAGAAGACAGTGATCAGAAACCTAGTACAGCGCTTACATGCTACATTAGCTTAGCTTCTTTCACAATTATCCAGCTTGCATATACAGATCTCGATACCAGGATCAGAGCTTAAGCAGGTTTCTAAAAGCAAATGTTTGCATGTCCAAAGATGAACTGTTAACATTAGAATCACTGGCCAGTGTGTAGGATTTCTGGGAATCACTTTTGTGGTGCTGTCGTGATTGATTCATTAGCACTCCAGTATAAAAACTACCTTCCTTCGTTCGGGATCACTGCCATGCTCTCAGCTAAATAATTCAATTTCTGGCTCCTGACATTGTTTCTATTGTTTTGGGATTCAGTTTAAGGTTTTTTTGTGCTCTTGTTGATATATTTTTTCTTATCTCCCTGTATCAATTAATGTGCTACACATCCTAACTTGATGAGGGTTGATGAATCATTAATGGTATTTTCATATCAATAAATTAGGGCTGACAAATTAGGTTTTTGCCTGCCGGTAATTTAGAAATGGATCAATAACATTAATAACCGGTACTACAGAGAGAGCGATGAGATGACGAGACTAAACCACCACCCACAGAAGTTTCTGGATAGCAAAAATATTTTCAGGATAAACTATCGAACATGAAAAACCCCACGAAGATGGTCAGTAAAGGTAAGCTTTTGAATTGGTTGCTTGTTTGTTTGATCTTCAGCTTAGCGCTGTTAGCCGTCTATACCAGAACACAACTCAACACATTAAATAGAGATATTGCAAAAGGAATCAAAAGCAGACAGAATTGAGTGTCATGTTTCGAGTCCCTATAGACTTTGGTAGAGTTGCCATTCTGCACACATTTACGCATCAACAGTTTTCTCACGGAATGTCACAATGCAATTAAATAATCAAGCAAATCGTGAAGTCAATCTCAGCTACAAAAACAATCATCTCACTGTCCTTGAACACAACGTTTTGAAGATCCAACTTAAAGTGGAGTCTGAAAATAGACTTGTAAACTGTGTCTGGTGGGCTCTCTGGGGAACTAATGTATTTGATGACTGGCAGCAGCAGCAGCGGCTTGCTTTGAATGAGTAGACCTGAGTAGTGTACATGTACAGCGGGCCATCGTGGCCATCCTGACAGGGAAGACGAGAGACTCTGACCTCATCAAACGGCAACACATTAATCAATTCAGTAATAAGTAAGTGATGAATCATGGACAATCCACATAACTTTTGAAGTGAAAAACATATTAAATATTTTAGCTTTCGTGTCTGAAAGCAGAGGGTTACCATCCAATAAGGCGATTTTATCGTGAGTCACCTCAACTTCAGAATATGAATCATGATGTCATCATTCTCGTGTCCAGAAGGTCGTTTTTTTTTATCAAATATGAAGCTGTGCTGTTGGAGATTGTTTCTCTCAAGGAATACTGATATGTTACTCATATTTTGGAGAGTAAGATGAAAATCTCAATATTTGGTGATTTTTTATCTTTTTTTGTATTGCTTTCTGTGTGTTTTTCGCAACATCCTCCTGAAATGGCATCAGATATGTCTCACACTTATTTCAGGCCCTTCTCTTGGCGTTCAGGCATCGCATGGCCTGTTGGAAACCCTGCTAAGTGCCCACAGCAAGAGAGTCACATTTCAGCAGCTGTACAGATTGTGAATGATAGAGAGAGACTCTCTTCACATTCATTAAAGTGCCGCAAATGAATAATTCATGGTTTAGAATTGCAGCCCTCCAAATATTCAACTGCGTTGCATCAGGCCTTTCCTCTCCGATTGATTGCTTCCAGTACAAGTGATGCATGTGCTGGTCAGCTTGGGATCCGTATCCCATTCAATGGAAAGCCCCGGAAAAGCCCCGAATGTCTCCAAAAAAATGATGGTAATTGAAATTATGAAAGCGTAAAAGTGAGCCAAATCCTTCAGCAGAAGCCATTTCATTTGTCTCTTTTTTATTTTGTAAA